AAGGTGCAAAATTCAAATGCCACAGTGGCAGGGTGTGAAACGCATGAAGCAGGTGTCAGGCAAATTCACGAGAATGAAAACTAAGTGAGTTCATTTTCAAGAGGTGCTATAAACTTCAAGACTTTTTCGAATTGAAAATGTAAAAGATTAATTAAAGTATACAATCAAGAGAATTCTAGAAGTTTTCTGAGCAGTGGAAGGGAGTCGTTCAAGTTATATTTGGACTGTGCTTAATGGAGTGGACATCCACCTCCTCACCTGGTGATTGGGCATCCATCAAATTCAGTGATGCATTTTCATGGAACTGATTGAAGGCGCTGTTAAGCGAACGAAAGCAGTGGCAGAGTTCATCAAAATTGACTTCCATCAATACGAATTCGGCTGTGTACAGTGTCATTGCAACATCGACTTCGTCAGTGCAGCGCCTGAAGGTGTAGGAAGGGGAATTGGAGGTGGGTGGAATGACGCGACGGCAAATTGGGGTGGTGGTAGTGGTGGCAGCACAGATAGAAGGACCAGTGGTATTAGTAGTAGTTGTAGTGGCAGTAGTATTAGTAGTAGTAGTAGTAGTAGTAGTAGTAGTAGGAGGAGGAGGAGGAGGAGGAGGAGGAGGAGGAGTGATGGATGGAAGGAAATGAGAAAGTACGAAGTGAAGGGAGGAAAGATGCACCGTTGGGGAGAATGCAATGAGACATCGGCAACCACTACTGTCAATCATGATGACGGTGTTGGTGGGAGCAACAAAGGGGAAGTTGAGGCGACGCGAATTATTGCCAACGCAACTGCACAAGGAGGCTGATTGACGAGGCGTGACAATGACTAACCCACGACGGAAGAATGTGTAGTGTGAATGGGGTACGTGGAAGGCTTTCAGCTACTTGACAAGTGAGTACTGGAAGAGGAGCAGTGAGGCCGATCACCACTCCCACATTGCATGGTGGCGCTTGGCATCCGTGGCATTGTTGTCTCTGCATTGACGTGGAAATCTGGGGTGAAATGAGATGAGGTAAGGTGAGGTGAGGTGAGGTTTGGTGAGGTGAGAGGGGTGGATAACGATGGGAGTGGAGTGAGTGTGTGGTGTGTGAGATTGGAGGAAGCAAAGG